GATGAATGATACCAGAACCAGGCTTCCAAAACCCAATATCATATTTTGCAGTAGCAGAAGACAAAAAGTCATAAACTTCAGCATTGATCGATATTGCTCTTTCCAGATCTTTGACACCACCTACTTGAGCTTCAATTAAATGATCACAATGAACCGTTGTTGGAACAGCTACTTCTGGGATACCAGCAGACATAAATTGAAGTAGAGCCATTTGTGCAGTAGCATCTTGGCATGCAACACGGTCAGGACGTAATTTAAGGTAACTTTGTCCTCTAATAATTTCTTGACCGTGAGGATCATCCAAATGACCATAAAGAACTTTTTCAGAAAGCGTTAATGGTCGGTTAAGTCTGCAATTCAAAAAAACATTATCATTATCATCACCATATCATCGTCATTATCACCATCATCATCAAATTAATTGAAAAGTTTTAATTAATAATTATTACCTTTTTTTCACAATGGCCAAATGATCTTGTATTCTTTGATAATTGATATAGTTTGTCATTAAAAAAAAAATCCAATAATAATTTCTCGATTATCTCAATTAACATAAATTATATACTTTTCATTACAAAAAATAACTTACTCTTGAAGCATTAAATAATTGACGGGTGATCATTTTCTTAACAATTAAAATTAGAATATAATTAAAAATATAGAAAGGATGGACTTTTTTTTGAAATATGAAATTTTTGACTGGAAAAAAAAAAACCAGATTAAAAAAAAACTTTTTTCACTTGGTCGTGTGACAATTATTTAATTTTAAAATAAACAAACATTTTAATTATTATTATGTAATCTGTAATCAAAAATTATTTTTTATTAAATCATAAATTAGTCACTAGTTGATTCAAAAAAGACAATGTCTAACCATACGGATTGGAAACAATTTTCTGGGTTATGTAGCATTTATTGTAAAGAATTTAAACTTTAAAAATAATGATAATAATGAGTTGTGAAATTCAAATTCTTCACATACACACACATATATTATTATATATATTTTTTATACACGTTTTTCAAAAAAATTAGTTTTACCTTGCAAAACATTAATCCAAAAAGGATTTCCATAAGTGATAATCGTTGTTAAGATAATGGGATTTTCAAATGATCTTTTTTATAAGATCTTCTTTTGGAAAGCCACCTCATGTTTTTAATGAATTTGTTAATGTCAATAAAGATTTTTTGATAAATAAAAACAATTTTCTGGCAATATGCAAGGGATGCATAGTTAGGAAAAGTTTTGATTGGTCATTTAGTGAAGCTGTTAGAAGTAGAATTTCTAACACTGTTCCTTCCATTGAAAAACATCTTATATCTTGTGACAATTTCAAAGTTGTATATCCCAATAGAATTGAATTTGTTAATATACAACTTGAAATAATAAAAAATAAAAGAAATATTGGTAGAACAAGTCAAGGTATAGTAACATTTATATTTAATTTTCAGATGTTGTATTATATAATAATAATAAATAAATAAATCACTATGATACTATAGCTAATGGTGATGTTGAAGATGATACAACTATTTTTAATAATAATTCGCAAAATGAAGTCATTCCAATTCATTCAAATACACCCAGTAACTCTGTTATCCCAAACAAAAGAAAGGATAGTAATAATCACTTGCTGACAATGAAAGATTGAAGCTTTATTTAGACCAGATTTAAATCCACTTGCTGATAGTTCCCTAAATTAAAACTTGGTTTTGTTTTTTTAATAAAAATAATAAATATTTGATTCATTTTTAAACCATTTGTGTTCCAGTTTTGGTTACTGTTCCACAATAAGGTTTCTGGAAAACTGGAATGTGTGTTCCAATTTCCAGTTACTAAAATTTAACAACACTGTATTATAAGGATTATGACTGGTGAAAAAATTGGTCATTGTTTATTTAGTGGGGGAAATGAGATACAAGGCTTGAAAATTTTTAATTTATATAATTCACTCAAAACATTTTATTATGACTTAAGCTACCTTTTGCTAGAGAACCCCCGCATAATAAGTAAAGCCAAATGTTCAGTATCTAAATCTTCTTTCAAGGTTGTCAAACCCACAATAGCCTCAGTATCTGAAATTTCTGAGATCATAGAATCTCCTGAAATCAATGGTACTTTTGAAATTGTCAAACCTAATAATGATGACTCTGAATCACCTTCCAACTTACCTGCAAACAACAAACCTCAGCCCTTGCCCAAGTATGTTTTTAATAACTTGTGCTAGTTTGAATTTTTGTTCTTATTCTCTTATTCTGTTTTTTTTTTATAAAACTCAGTTATCATAATAAATAAAAATATTTCACTTGAATCTTTGATCATTATTCACTTTGCTTAAATTAAATATCAACATAATTAATTCCAGCACAAAAGTTGCTGCCAAAAAACTCTTTGGTTCTTAACATTCTTGAGTTTTTCAGAAAAAATTATTTCAGCATTTAATTAATCATTACTAAATGTGTGCACTAAACTTATTACTCTATAACCTGCGCAAATATTTAGCATCATAATTGTCATTTAGACTATTATACAATTGGACAAGTAAGTCATAATTATAATTGGATTATTGGTGGTTATTATAGTTAATTAATTGTCAAGCTTTCATGATTAATAATTCTTTTCATGCAATGGAGGACCCATGTGACTCACTTAAATATGTTATTAAAGTCCAGCAAGTGGGAGAGTAGAACTCTTGCTAGTGGCTCATACTGGGTGTATTGACCCTTTATCAAATATTGCTTAATCAGGTGATATTATTTGAGACATTGGTCTTTACAATTTTAGTCTAGCACCATTGGTTATAAATTTACGGGTGTTGAGTACCTGGACAATCTGTGATTACTCAATCATTCACCGAATATCCTCTGAATAAATCAATAAAATTCGAACCGATTTGAATCACCTAATTTTTGGTTCAATTCAAACCTGATTCGAACCTATAAATGATTTGATTTGACTTGGTTTGAATCTAATTCAAATATATACCATATGAAATAATTTGAATTCTGCATAATTTTAAAAGAGTTGCCTTTGAAAATAAATGGTTTCAAAAGTCAAAAAATATATTTACTTAGTGCAATAATTGCCTCTTGTTCTATACCATGCCTGTGAAGAGACATCATTTTCAACAATGGAATCATTGTCATTCATCATTGCTATATTTATTATTTAAATTATATTATATACTATTTATTTGTATGCAGAGTTTCTATTTGTAATACAATTTTTATTCGAATTACTCGTTTTATTAGAATAAACATTCAACGTATTTCGAATTCATAACAAATAAAAAAATCATTTGAATAAACCTTATTCAAATAGAAACCCTGTTAATGAGAAATTTAAGAATCCAATTTGATTGAATCCAGTTTTTTTGGAATTCGAGTCATTTTAAAATTCGACTCAACTTGTTTCATTTCGTTTCGTTCGAAGCCTTACCTCCAAATATCCAATTCTGAAGTCTGTGAAGATAAAATAGTATGTTATCTATTTATATGTATTAAAAAAATTACATTCAATTAATTAGCAATAAAAAAAGATTTTCTCAACATATTTTTTTATATTCTAATTCTAAATTTCTAACACCTGGTTAATCGGGAATAATCGATGAATATCATTCGGCGGATATAACCACTAAATCCTAAAAGCTTAACCTTATCTGTATTAGTGTTTAAAAAAAGTGATAAAATGTGATATCCTATGTAAGTTGTGAGGAGGATCTAATACGAATAAAAAAAAGTTCTAAAAGGTTTTTTTTTTTACAAACCAAAAATTTGTTTCCATTTGCTATTTTATGAATGAAATCATTAACAATTATTATATAGTTTGTTAATATTAACCATATAAATCGGGAGACTAAATTTTAAGAATTTATTTTAATGCTGAAATTTATTTATTATATATATTTTCTAATGTGGAAGAGTATTTCTCAATTATTCAATGATATAGCTATTTAATTATAAGAAACAAACAAAACAGAACGAGTAGATATATTATTCTTCGAATAATTAGACCATTTGGGATTTTTATAGATAACTTTAATATTTGCATTTTAATTAGCATTAAATAGATTTTAGTTCATAAAAAAAAATTGGGAACGATACACACGTGGCCTTGCCTACACGGATCTCATTTAACGTGATACATGCAGTCGTTCTTGATCCCGTCGTAGAAAAACGTTGTACAATTTTGTCATGAAGTGACAGTTTTATGGATGAACTTATTAACAATTGGATGAGTCTTTTATTATCGGTTTGTTGATTATAAAGGTAAATTAAGAATTTGTTTTAATGCTGAAATTTGTTATATTATTATTATTCTGCATGTAATTAGATATTTAGAAGTAATATTTTATTTAACATTTTAAAAAAACAGCATGGATTTTATAACTTACACTTTTAAATTGGCATTAAAATTCAATAAATTTGGTGGTCCACTTGTTTCAAATTCATTAAAAGGATTTTTAATAATCAAGTGACTCGAATTTTTGGAAAATTTTAATATATGTTGCAGATCACCCTATTACTATTATATCACAAGTTTATTGTCACAAAAATGATCAATTTCCGCCCACATGCCTGGATTAAAAATTACGTTCTGAACACAATCAACCAATTACATGTTAAAAATATATAAAACAATAATAACACAATAAATAATATATAACATATTATTATAATAATAATTAAACACAAATCATTCATTCTTTTTTTTTTATTCTCAATAAATGTAAAAAAACAAACAATATTTTAAAATTTAATTTGAGGAAAGAAAAAAAATCTTTTTTTAACGAAAATAAAAATAAAAATATTTCATTTGATTAAAACTTTCATTTAATAATTTTTTTATCTTTTTTTCCATTTCATTTAATGAATTACTTTTCATTATTTCGTTATTTAAAAAGATATTCATTAACTCTCATTTTCAAAAAAATATATAAATTCCCAATCTCTTCATTTCCCTTTTTATAATTATTGACTGATTAATACATATAATAATAATGACTCCAAAACATCCTATAATGAATACTTATAATTTTGTAAGTACTTCTGACAAACAAACGCCATTGGATAGGTAAAATATTTATATCAAAATCAAATGAAGAAAATCAATTTATTCAATCAAAATAACAATTATTATTTATTATTAGTTCTCATTTTCGCTTAATTATCAGACAACAGCCGAAACAAGCCCGTTTATGTAATTCAAAAGAACGAGGTAGTAAAAATAAAATATAATTATACATTCATCGAGGATATACAATTACATTTGATTTAACGGTAATAAAATCTTTTTATTAGATCGAAGACCAATCGATCCTCCTCCGATCATTCAACTTAAAGTAGATGAATGTTATGATGAATCACAGTAAGAATCTTATAATAATGGTTATTTTTTGATCAAATTTAATTGTATATTTTAATTGATTAATGTATAAAAAAATGTTAACCAATTAATTATTTAATTTAATTTTAGTAATTATCTTCAAAGTCCATATTTTTTCATGTGTGCAGATTTGGTTCATCCAACAAATAATAGCGAACATTTCTCTATATCTTCAAAATATTTAGCTGGCACTGTTGTTTCGTCTCTTCATAAGCTAAAAGATATTAATAATACTGGTAAATAATAATAATTACTGTTATTGTTATTAACTTCATGTTTATCTTTTATATACTAAATGGTTTTTAAAATAGATGGTGGTTTCTTTGTATTTGGTGATATTTCTATTCGTGTTGAAGGTCGTTATCGTTTAAGATTTAGTTTATTCGAAGTAATAAAGTCAGTGTAATATATATTGTTATTATATTATCATCATCAACCGTTTATTTATTTATTCATTCTTATCATTTATTTTTTTCTTATTAATAGAAATGAAGTTATTCATTTACAATCAATAATTTCAGATATTTTTACTATATATTCTGCGAAGGCTTTTCCTGGTGCGTCTGAATCGACATTTTTATCGAGATCTTTTTCAGATCAAGGTGTTCGTATAAGAATAAGAAAAGAGCATAGAGGTCTATCGTATGTATTTGATTTATTAAACAAATAATTATAATTGTAAATACAATGATTTATTAATAAATATAAATGTGTACATTTGATTAGAAAACGTCAGCATTCTTTAAGGCCCACTGGTAATGATAATAACAATAACGACAATGATAATAGAAACAACAAAATCAAAAATAATGATGTTGACGTTGATGTTGATGATGATGGTAATAATAATAATCCAAATAATCTTTACATCTTAAAAAGAAAAAGAAGCAAACCTGAGATTATACAGCCTACTGAAAAGTTATCATTAGAACCTTACTACTCTTCATCGTCATCATCTTCCCACTATACCACATCTGATTATTTAATCAATAATAACAATTCCCCAAATTATTTGCAAAATACTGGTTACACCTCTCCCAATTCATGGCAGAAATCACGTGTTTTCGTTTCAAATAATCACGATGATTCTGGATTTGACGATCAAATGTCAGTTCTTTCTTCTTCCACTTTTGAATTTACTTCTTCTGCAACTTCTTCACATAATGAATCATTTTTCTTGAATGATCGTTTAAAACGTCCAAGATTATCAAATCCCGAGATTATTGATTCACATGACAACAACAATCACAGATTGTTGAAAAATCATTACAATAATAATAATCAAATTAATAATTTTTCATATCATCGCAGACCATCACAACGTCAAACTACTTTGCCTCCTCTATTAGAACATACATCATTGTCATCATCAAGTTCTTTTAATAATAATGATATATCATCATCATCTAGACATCAATCATCTGGCAATTCATTGGTCGTTCTTGGAAATTCCTACAAAAATAATATTTCGAATAAATTCCCTCATCATATAAAAGATCCATATTACTTCCGACCTTCTTTACCACCACCTCCTGAATCATCAACTAGATCTTTTACTTTACCACCATATCTATCCAGTTCGCAACACCAACACCACACTAAACTAGATTATAATATCACCAAAACTGACATTGATGATAATAATAATAATACCGCTACTACTGCCGCTGTTAATAATAGTAGACTTTCTTCCATAGCTAGTCAATTACCCACACCAAAAACTTCGACTGATGTTGATGGTACGCGCTCAAATCAACTACTATTAACTCCTTACTCGCCAAATATGGCTACTTCCATCGATAGTTATAGAGATGATAACATAAGTAGTTGTACAAATACAAATAATATCAAAAACAAAGACAATAACAATGATGATGATAATTTAACGCCGAGATTCACTAATAGTTTCACTTTAAGTCCTAGGCCTACTCATTATACGCTTTCAACTTCTCCTAAATCATTGTCATCTTCCTCGTCATCATCCTCGTCATCAAATTTATCACTATCCACTTCATTAAAATCTGTTATTATTTCGCCGCCAATCACCAGATTACCTCCTATATCATCTTTAATGAATGATAATAACATATTAAATGATAATTTTATCGAGAAAAAAGATTCCTTTTCATTAATTGGTTTAACACATAATAATAACAACAGTAATAACAACAACAACGATAATAGTGATAATAGTAATAATAATTATCAACAATATCATTATGTAAATAATAATAATAATAATAATAACAACAAAAATAACTATAATAATAATAATAATAATAATAATAATAATAATAATAATAATAATAATAATAATAATAATAATAATAATAATAA